GAGGTGTGCTCTGATAGGCTAGCTATCCAGTGCGCTGTGATTGGCCAGCTATCCAGTGCGTTGTGATTGGCCGAATACCTCAAGCGTGTGACAGAAATGTTATGCCCCTACCATACTGTGATGCCCTGTCCGGCCGGAGCGATAAGACAAAAACATTAAAACCCATTATAAACTAGGCTTTCGTTGCATCCAGTGGGGACATAATTACAGATTATAATGACTTATACTGTCTTTTTACGCATTGCATCCAATACTACAGAGATAATCAAAGTTATGCCTTCTATCTTTGCGTGAACATTTGGGCGGCGTTATGCAAATCTTCCCACACAGTGACGTAGACATGTGGGGGCATCATACTTTTTTGTCCTAACTTTGATCATTCTGTGTATTGGTTTATTATTTAAAAGCTAACAAACCTGTTTAATATGAAATATTTTGCTTGTGCCATTTTTAAATAAAATAAATGCCACTGTTATCTTGTGCATGATATTTATATATTTTAAGTGTGGCTGAAGTATCCAAATACTGTACCATTATATTCTTTAAAGTTCTCTGTCGTTCCATGTACACGAATGACTCAAATCAAACAGGCATAGCAACAAAAAGATTTATTTTACACATGGAAACGGTATAAAAAAGGTGACACATTTGCCTTGAACATACATGAAGTGGTTAAAGACTTAAAATGCACAGCTCACATTGTACATGCAATTCAAACACCCCCGCTCTCTACATTAAAAAACAGTGTGATGATTGGCCCAGAAGTACCATGGTACTGCATTTCATTTGAATACATAACAGTCTGTTTGGCCCACACAAGTATTATGCACATCATTAAGCCTCTGCAGTGCTTGAGTTTTCTAGGAACTCTATAGCCTGACTCCATGATTAACCTTCACAGATTGTTCAATGATGATAATTTAGTAACAAAGATGAGCAGCTGCTTCTAATCAGCACAAACGACTACAAGCCCCATTATTGTGCTCATTTGAATAGCATACTGTCGTATTACACTTATTATATCCGCAATATATGCACATTTTCTGTGCATGTTGCAGTACACAACTGGACTGAAATAACCATATTTATTTAGGAAATGTCTTCAGGATTCCACTTGCTGAATTCAATTTTTTGCTATTTTTTAGGTACACTACCATTCAAAACATTGGGGTCGGTAACATTTTTTTAATGTTTTTGAAAGAAACCTCCAAGGCTGCATTTATTTGATTAAAAATATTGTAAATATAGTAATATTGTGAAATAAATAATACAATTCAAAACAACTGTTTTCTATTTGATTCCATTTTAAATAGCGATTCTATTTAAAACGAGTTTTTAGCATCATTACTCCAGTCTTCAGTGTCACATGATCCTCCAGAAATCATTTTAATATGTTGATTTGCTGAAGAAACATTTCTTATTATCAATGATTCAGCGCTGAAAACAATTGTGTTGCATAATATTTTTGTGGAAACCGTGATACATTTTTTTCAGGATTTTTTGAGATGATGAAAGAACAGCGTAATTGGAATAGAAATGTTTTCGAACTATTTAAATGTCTTCACTGACAATTCTGATCAGTTTAATGCATCCTTGCGGACCAATAGTTTTCTTTAAAAAAAATAAACAATCTTACTGACCCCAAACCTTTGAACAGTAGTGTAAATACACTAATATTCCATTCTCAATATAGTGACTTGCTCAGTTCAGGTTGTCATGTTGAAAAAGCATTTCCTTATGTCTTTAAATGACCTTCACATGCATTTAGGGGCTTGTTCATGAGCAATGTGACCAAAAGCACAGATTTGATGTATGATAAATGCTTAGTGTGCTCAATACTAGATCCTCTGTGCTTACAAGACAATATTTTACACAATTTAAGATGTGAAAGCAATATACCACTTTCCCTTAACCTTGTACCTTTACATCACACCATAACCAACATCTTACAGTTAATAAATGACAGAAATGTTTACTATAATTTAGCAATGTATCAAAGAAACATTACAACTAGTCCATTTCACTTCAAAAAGCACTTAAAGTTAGTGATGCATCGCGCAGCACGTGAACGCATCACACTTTATACACCACCAAATATTCAAAGGACAGTATTTAGTAAAGTTCCAACAATCTTTAGACTTTCACTGCCATAGTAAATATATTGTGTAAAGAATATTTAACATGTGAAATAAATTATAGGTATGTGACAATATTCTCTCTCTGATATAATGTGCTCTCATTAACCATTAGTGTAACAGTGAAAAAACTTGGTGTTTTCATTTATCAAGATTCAAGCCTATAACATTTATATATTTTAAACAAATAAATCATAATCATGATGCATGTTTCAAGAAGTGGCCTCAATGCAATGTGAATTTTGCTTTCCCTAGTTTTATATTAGTTACCACTTTCATTGAAGGAACATCCAAAAATTAATATTTACTGACCCCCAGGCCATCCAAGATGTAGATGAGTTTGTTTCTTCATCGGAGCATATTTGAAGAAATGTAGCATTGCATCACTTGCTCATCAGTGGGTCCTCTGCAGTGAATGGGTGCCGTCAGAATGAAAGTCCAAACAGCTGATAAAAACATCACAATAATCCACACCACTCCTGTCCATCAGTTAATGTCATGTGAAGTGGAAAGCTACATGTTCGTAAGAAATAAATACATCGTTAAGGCGTTTTAAATTGTAACTTCTGGCCAAAATACAAGTTCATAATCCATAAAAATGCTTCCTCCAGTAAAAAAGTCCATCCCATGTTATCCTCTCACACCAAAAACCACATACTTGTTTAGAACTGTTTTGGACTGTTTGGCTTGTAAACGGTGCTTGATCTGTGCATATTCCTCTCCTGATTCACACAAGATGACTTTTTAAAGCAATATTATGAATAGAGAACTCGCATTTAGGCCAGAAACAACAGTTTGAAGTTAAAAACGGCTTAATAATGGATTTGTTTCTTACAAACATGCAGCTTGTGGATTACTTACATTACTTGTGGATTATTGTGATGTTTTTATCAGCTGTTTGGACTCTCATTCTGACGGCACCCATTCACTGCAGAGCATCCATTCTGTTCCCAAAATCTGTTCTGACAAAGAAACAAACGTATCTAAATCTCAGATGGCCTGAGGGTGAGTACATTACATCTACACAGAGTATGTATTTTGGATACACCAGGAAATATAACATTGCTGGATAATAGTTACTACATCTAAGACTTGTAATACATCTGCTGTCATTAGGTTTCTACTTAGTTTTGATTACAATCTTGCTTTTGAACAGTGTACTTATAGAAAATAGTTCCTACATCAGCAGAAAAACCAAACCAGTGAGGCCGGCTTCATCTGGGATCAAGTACACATGAACTTCTGCTTATGTGCTATAACAATAGCTTTGTTTTAAAAGGGGTGATAAGCATATTCTTAAAGCATAAGTAGCATATATCTGCTGTGTCATTGAGAAGACAAAAACTTTGTAACCTGAACATTGATATGGAAATATATATTTCTCTACTGGAATCTAAGGCATATTGCACCATTACAGTAAAACTTCACATTTTTGTTAATTGTTAGCACAAATCTAAATGACCATATTGATAGATGTTGTAAAATAGATATCTTGTTTAAAACGTTAAGCATTCATATGTCTATTCCCTTGGTTGCGGTACATTGTCTTCTACTCCAAGAACGTGGGTTGACGACAACGAGTAAGTGTGTGACACATACAAAACACGAACAGTATACAAATACAAACAAGCCTAAATGTGTTCACGGTGAACATTTGTAACGTCTTAAGGCATATTGCATCCTTGGATAATAATAGCTTGTATATATTCCACTCATAGTGTCTTTAGTGACGTTATAGATTATACAGACATTTATTTCAAGTTTTGTACAGTAGCTGATGGCGGTTTGTTCTGCAGCATGTTGAGTTATTATGACGCTTCACCATTGTGCTTTCATTCCTTCAACAGTCTTTTGAGGTTTTAGCATCTCGTTTTGCACCGTCACATTGTGTTTTTGCGTGTTTGCCTACGCCTTGGTTAATATGAAGACAGTGCTCGCAAGGCAGCATGAACAGGTTAATGTATATGAAAACGTCACATTTTACTCCAGAATTGAAAGGAAAAAATTAGAATGCATATTTTGGTACAAAGCAAATGAAACTTATTTTAGGAGTGTCAAAACTTTGTATTGTGACACAAAACTGTTTAGTCATGATGACTCTTCACATCAATTTGTAAGCCAGCCAGGAAGGCTGATTAGTCATGGTAGGTCTTTATAAGAATGGTTGCCTTTACATTTTTTCTAAACCAAAGACTACTGCTACTATGATGTTAGCATTTTAAAAATACATCATTATTTTTTCACATTACAGTAATGAATCATTTTTCGTAGTAAAATGAAGAGGGAATGACCACGACAGGTTTCTTCTTTGAGTTCAAAATTTGTTTTGATAATAATATCAGCCTTAACTGCCATTTAAAAAAAAATAAACATTATACTTTTTAAGAAATTACTTCAATTTACGATCAAAGTGTGAAAATCTAACTGACAGATTGACTGGCAAATTGCAATTAGTTTTTTTCTTCTTGTGTTTATTTGCATACCGAATCATGATTGGTATTTTTTTCTGTTTAACCATATGTTGCCATGTCCACCTATTATATGCAATTTGGGATTGTTTTTTCCCCTCGATTTGCTTAGAAATATGGGCAGTCATAGGTTGCCATTTTTTAGGCTTATTTTTTGATGACTATAACGAATGTTGAGTAAAACCAGCTTTTTTCCTTATATAATAAGGAAATATAAAATGAATATAAAACGATATAATTAAAATACATTTGCCAACTGAAGTAATTAATTTTTATGTAATCTATTTTTTGTTTTTTCTACTGATCAATTAATTATGAATTCATTATTATTATATTTTATTATTTGTATTTATTTTTGTATTTTTAAGCAAGTTGCTTATCAGCTGCTTTTTTTAAGACCAAGAGATCTGGCAACAAAGCAGACAAAAAAAAAAAAGGCAACAGCAACCGTGGCTCTGATGAGGTGTTTCATTCACAGATTATCAAAGCCAAAAACAGAAACTTATCCAAAAACCTCTATTTAAGCTGCCTTGCGAGCACTATTTCCTTTTGTGACTGCAAATCTACAGGTTTTTCAATGTGATTCTGTTGTGCTACGTGTTTAGCGTTCCAGAAGGAACCTGATTACCGTTCGCAGCGATGGCGTTCGGTTCACATTCCACAAGCGTCTCCCTCCCATCACCCTCAGCTAACTGCCTCATCCTCATATTAATGGATCCGTACGATTTCATGGGTCTTCTAGCGAAAGTCCTCCGGCGATACAGTTCCCCTTTGCATATAGACACCATTAATAAAATAGATAGAAGCATTCCTCCCAGAGTGAGCAAACCAAGTCCTGCAATAATACATTTGTCGAGGTGAGAACCGAGTTGTGCGTAATACATCTCCAGTTTCTCCATTTGCCGCGCTGTCACTTGGTCCGGATTGACTTTAGCCTCTCTTGGGATCGTGTAGGCGATTACCACTAATATGATGCCGCTTACGAGGAAAATGAGCGCAAAAATGAACCCGTAGTCCACCGAATGACCGTTGTACTCGAGCTCAGGTTCGTCTTCGGAGCGCGGTGACGGCACTTCTCTCTGAATAGGCAGCGGATTCGACTGAGAGTCGATGGACGTGAACTCAGGTCCAGATGTTCTGGAGGTAACGCGGATCCTCGTTCCCGGATCCTCATCCTCAAACGACGCGTTTTCGATGCCGGCTGTGGGCTGCGGTCCTGAGGAGGTCTGAGGAGGTTCTCTCCTGCTCCCATCCCCCAGTTCACGGAGCTCCACGGCGTTCAGAGACTTCATCGACACTCAACGCTTGCACTCATGTTGAATCAAATGCCTCCTGTTTCACCTTAAAAAAAAAGAATATAGCATATATTGCATTGTGAACCATGAAAGCATCCAAAAACTCTTTCAGTTCCAGAGTCCATTCCAATAGATAGCACTTTTTTTATCTAAAAGCTAGGGTAGGCCTATATATCACTGTGGACAAAAGAACTGTACTACTGTAACACTGCTGCCTAATGGTTAGAGAGTCGGACTCGTAACCCAAAGGTTGCGGGTTCGAGTCTCGTACCGGCAGGGATTGTAGATGGGGGGAGTGAATGTACAGCGCTCTCTCCCACCTTCAATACCACGACTGAAGTGCCCTTGAGCAAGGCACCGAACCCCCAACTGCTCCCCGGGCGCCGCAGCAAAAAAATGGCTGCCCACTGCTCCGGGTGTGTGTTCACGGTGTGTGTGTGTTCACTGCTGTGTGTGTGTGCACTTTGGATGGGTTAAATGCAGAGCACTAATTCTGAGTATGGGTCACCATACTTGGCCACATGTCACGTCACTAAATGTGGTTTCAGTACACACTGTGTCCAAAACACAGTCAGGTTATCTTCAGACCATGTCTGACAAAAGTTACCAAATTGGTATTTTTAACATCAAAACCAAATGCCTGTGTGGCAACAACAGAAGTAGTCGTTGATGGTGGAGGTGTGGCACTGTGATAAAATAAAACCAAAAAGTTACAGGTTACATTCTGCAGAGGCCAACCCTACAGCGATCAGCGTACATTGTGCCCTTGAGCGAGGAATACAAGCCCAAGTAGCTCCAGCGGATTGTCTCTGCAATAAGTACTTGGCAAGGACATTTGAATGATCTTACAACTATTTTATGAGTGTTTACATTAAAGGATTCAAATGTCCCATTAGCAGCAAAATGATCTAAGCTGGTCTTTAATGGTATTGATCTAGTGGTTTCATTAATGTATTAAATAATAACACTGAATTTAATCAACATCCAATCACTGCAAACTATTTTAAACACATATACCACAATAATTCTTAAAATGTTTTGCTAAGGTGGGTAACTAAATTGATCACCTATAAGGTTACATTTATATAAAAACTACTGGAGATCCAAAAGTAATGTATCATAAAAGATTTATATAAATAAAAAAATCATTAAAAAAATCTTGAATCTTGAAGATTTCTATATATAAGTGGGGGAATAAATTAGCTTTGTAATTTTCTCATTTTTATATTGTATGAATAATAGTGACGATTTGCAAGCCCACCTCCCCAAACCTCCTACAAATAAAACGACAAAAAAAAAAAAAAAAAGAGGGGGCGGTGTGAACTTATTTTTTCGAACAAATATACGGTAGCCTATTAAACAAAGCTTTCGGGCCTCTATATTATGATAATACAGTTAGATTCGATCGATCACTTATGTAAAACAGATTTATCATCACTTAACCTAATTTATAAAATCCTAAATTTACGTTTGGATTACTGCAAATAACAATTTGCAAGACGAAGCTCGATAGGATTGCACGTTGAAAATTATTACATTTACCAATAATCAATTGCCTGATGTTTAAAATTCCTTTAGTAAACCCGATATATTTCTTTCAAATAGACAGTTCCCCCTAAAAGCCGTTCATTAACATACACAACAAAACCACCATAAGCAATTTGGCACATAGCCTATCAATTCAACTTCAAATTTACAATTTAAAGATTTTAACCCCACATTCAATCTAACCTCTCTCAACTCAGCCTTCATGCCACACACATTTTAACAATGCCATGCCATGAATTAAAGGATAAATAATTGTTAAAACAGTATTGTTCAAAATAATGGGTTTGCAGATTCTCTGTCCCGTTTCACCTGAACACAGTGTTGACAAAGAAGAGGATTTCTGACATTTCAATAGCTCTTTGGCTATTACATATTTGTAACGAATACTGATAAAAGAGACCATAACATACAAACAGCGGTCTGGACGATGTGCAGAGCCATTTTTATGCCCCTCCGATGATTTACCAGAGAGTGGCCCGTTTTACCCGACTTCACCCTACGCTACGCGTAAAATCTCATTTCTCGAGAGCGATAATAACTAGGCGACGTGTCTGCTATTATTTATCCATGTGAGCTCACATTAGCGCGCGTTTATAGTTTCAGACATGACCTTGTAACACCTCAAGCGTTTCATGTGTTTCTTTACATATTCAACAACCAGCGTAACTCAAATACAAATGTAGCGCGCCATCGAGCTTTTATTGACTCGCACCTGCTCACGTTATCGGGTCGTTAATGTTATCGATAAGAGCGCGAGCTTACCTTCAGACGCGATCGCTCCACAGATATCATAGTAACGCTGGGATGCTGCTGACAGGAAGACCTCGAGGGGAGATTTAGCCATGCGCCATAGAAACACTATAATTTCTCAGAATTAAACGCAAATGCAACAACATGTCAGATTATTCATCGTCAATAACAACACAGCTCGTGCTGTCGATGCACACATTGCGTTGGGTTCGTTATGAAGTGCACATTTAGTATGCACTAGATCAGCTTCAGTGATCTGTATGGTGGCGTCTCTGTCGGGATGTGGGTGTAGGTTCTATTTAATTAAATATTATAAATTAAAATGTTGGAATTGATTTTACATGCTGTTAGGGCTTATGGAAGACTTTGTGTTTTTGCTCTGTTATGGTTTGCAATATATGTAATTACATAATCATAAACAGTGTTGAGGGTAACGCATTACAAGTAACGAGAGTTACGTAATCAGATTACTTTTTTCCAAGTAACTAGTAAAGTAACGCATTACTTTTTAATTTACAAGAGAATATATGAGTTACTTTTTTTTCCAATTTATTGATTGACAGCTCTCCTGTCCCCATGTTGAGAGAAATCAGAAGATGTTACTGTAGTTCTAAAATAAATATGAATATGCATTAATTCATCTCACTCACAAAAAAAAAACAGATTCAGTATTCCTCAAAATGAATAAAAATAATGCTACCCAGAATATGACGCAAACCTGCAATAATTAAATGTTAAACAACACAAATATCCTTTATGTATTTAATCCCATTCTATTAACCAATGTCTTTGCTTCTGACCTTCGATGATCCAGTTCAACCATACTAATAAGCAAAAATTACTCTAGACGAACATTTGTGTGTCTTTTTTTATTGCTGAAGTGTGTTGAAATTTCTTCTTCTGCATTCTACTGTACGGACGTAAATTTACTGTCCCTTCAGCCTGAGGCTTATTCATTTCACTTTTGGTGTGAAAAGGCTTTTATATTTGCCAAAAATAGAACTTTTTTATTTTAAAAACAAAGCAAACCCTGTCCAGATTTAAAAAGTAACGCACAAGTAACGTAACGCATTACTTTCCATAAAAAGTAACTAAGTAACGTAATTAGTTACCTTTTTTATGGAGTAACGCAATATTGTAATGCATTACTTTTAAAAGTAACTTTCCCCAACACTGATCATAAATGAGAATTATTAGAATCTACTGAAATCTAGTGCTGGAAGTTAAACATGAACTGTGCACTATTTATTAACTGGTTCAGACAAAAAGACTGCTGTTTGTTCATTCATCTTTCCAAAAAATAACATTTGCACTGCATTTTTCCCCTTCTACCTTCACATTGATGATATTTTTTTGGTTTTGACAAGAGGCCATAGGGAGATCTGCTTCTTAATCTGCTATCTGGGTAGATAAATTATAATATTTCATTTGTATATCTCTTTTACAAATACAAGCATTACATTTCTTAGAGCTTTTCTAATTAGTTCCCATCAGTTTAAATGGTGTGGGAAGCACAAATGGGTGCTTTATAAGCAGTAAAAACCAGGTGGTGGACCAAGGGCATCAATGTGTGGGCATATGTCAGCAAATCTCAGACAGTAGTAGCCTATGCATTATTATTACCAAAGATACACATTTTTCAGTTTTTATTTAGTAAATGGTGGACAAGACTGGTACAATAAAGTACCATGGTATTGTTGGACATGGAGTCACAGTAAAATAGCAATTATATTTTACACATGAATGGAATTGGAAAACCATGTAAATAACACGGTACATGCATTAATTCCATGCAACCTGATATCAGTACCTTGATACCAGTACAATACTTTGGTAAAATACCATGCATGAAATAAATGTAAGACTAAAAATTAATCTTTGATCATTTGCATCTTTAGAGACAAACAGTAAGCTATATGATTTTTAATCAGGCATCTGTGGGACACCAGCCGTCGTTTGGGTCCTTAGAGTTCCACAAATCTACGCAATCACCTAAAGAACTCAATGGCGACGGCTTATATGCGAGATCGGGATTGGATTTAAAGAATGGCAGGTCTGAGCATGATTATTTCAGTCTTTTTAAGCTTTAAATCTCGCCTATTTGAAGCTGCCACGATCATATATTTTCACACATGTGTTCGGAAGGTTTATTTCCGTGCTAACACCTAGCCACATGCTAACGCATGCTAGATATCCGGTTAGCCAACACGCTAACATCACAATGTATTTATTGTTTATATCTGTTTTGTATTGATGACACAATTTAAAAACACCAGCTGAAATATAGAATGCCCATAATTAAGTATAAAGTCACACTAACGGCTAGATTTCTATCTCTTTTGTTGTTTGTTGTCGGCCATTCGTGTAAACAATGTAAGGAATGTCAGTCGAAATAGGGAAAATCAGCATACATTTAAAATGTTCGGGGGCGTGCGAAGTATTTTAAACCACTTGTCCTTGATTTGATGTCCTTAAATAATTATAATGTGAAAATAATTTCGAATTTCTTTGTCCTTTGTAGTTTATTCTCGATCATTTGTGTTAACCGTGTACGGAGCGTCAGTCTACATGGGGAAACTATATAGTTTTTCTTAAATACGACACATTTTTACTAGATATCTAAATGTTTTGCTTTTTTATATTATACATACATACACACACACACACGCATAAACCTTTTAAATGTATGCAGTTATTAAAAACATAGCTTTAATGTTGAGCATACGATTAATGAGCGAGGAATATTTAAGCTATATTTGAACTCTTCAGCATAAATTAAAAATGTTTAGGGATGTGCAAAGTGTAAAAACAATCAAAACACAAGCTGAAATATTGGCCTTGTCCGTAATTAATTATAATATCGCACTAATTACCAAATTCTTACCTTTATTTGTAGTTTATTAACAATTATTGATGTAAACAGTGTAAGAAATGTCAGTCTAAAATACAACTACTTTATTATTTTCTTAAAAAAAAATATTTTGATAGTAGAAATCTGTATGTTTTGCTATTTTTCTTATATTTTAGCACCGCTAAATATTTTAAATGTATGCAGAGTTATTAAAATAGCCTAAAAGTTTAGATTAATGTCTATTAAATCTTCCTCTTATAACACATTAATTGAATCGAGTGTTTAACTAGTCAAATATGACTTAACTAATGGTGCTGTCATGTCTTGTAGATAGAAGTTAGACTGTTGTCATGTAGAACACAAGGCCAGCGACTAAAAATAACCCAATTTCTTAAAATACACGCATGCTTTGACCTCGGCGCCTTGTAAGGTGGTGTAAGACGAGCTAGGAATTGTGCGTATTAAATGGTTTTCTCTTTCTCTCTCCTTTTCCAAAGGCCTCGCCTGGTATTTGGACACCGCATCTAATCCCTCGCAGATACACAGGGGATTTGTGATTGTGTAGCGTCACATCGGATATCTGAGCTCATACGAGGCGGCCCAACACGCAGAGACCATGTACTGCCTCCAGTGGTTACTCCCGGTCCTGCTGATTCCCAAACCCTTAAATCCTGCCCTGTGGTTCAACCACTCCATGTTCATGGGCTTCTACCTGCTCAGCTTCCTGTTGGAGAGGAAGCCGTGTACCATTTGTGCCTTAGTCTTCCTGGCGGCGTTGTTTCTCATCTGCTACAGCTGCTGGGGAAACTGCTTTCTGTACCACTGCCACGATTCTCCACTGCCGGACTCCGCACATGACCCCAGCATTGTGGGCACCTAGACTCGGGTTTCCGCACGGACACATCCGGACTGGGAATGCTGGGAAGTTTTGGTTCTTTATACCCATGTTGGCAACCTCTCTCCGCTGTAACCCGTAACAAACCCTGACTTGAATCTCCTCGCCGCGGCGCAGGGGCGTCTGAAGCTTGCATGGGTTCCATTCTCGTTGTGTTCGGTGCACATTCTTTCATTTCTGGATTCTGAATTTTTCCAAAAGGGTAGATGATAATGTGTGTGCGTGTTTGTATATTGCGATTTTGGGTTTCTGTTCATGTGTCAATAATCAGTATGAGTCCAAGTGTTAAGCGGATAGACGCCAGATGAATTTTGTCACGCAACTTGAGCTGGAGGCGTGCTTCTGCACTGCTGAGTTAGCTCAAATGCTGTCTCCACTTTTAATTCAATAAAGTTTCTAATGATCAACATCGAGCAGCTGTGTGTGTACTTGTGAAATATCATCTTTTGTTTGACAGTGTGATGCTATAAACAACCTCAGAACAGCTGTGTGGATCAATCGTGTTTTTTTGCCCACTGTTTTTTCCAAGCAGGTCCATTCTGTGGCAGATAAACATGCATTTTTGGGGGGAATTGGTGGTTAAGCAAATACAACAACCCGTAGTGTTTTTTCACTAGGCAAACGTTTTGTTCATGTTCTTTAACAGATGTTTTTAAAGTCATATCACCAGGTTTGCCAAGTTGAAAATTTCTAACAAATATCAAATTGAAATATATAGTTTGTTTTTCAGAGTTTACTTATTTTTGTCATACACTGTTAAAAAAAGTGAAATTTACGGTTAAAAAAACTATTTAACATTTTATAGATGCATAGATGGAAATTAAATTTACAGTAAAAACATTAGTTCATTGAATGTTTGTGATTTTTCACTCTAAATTATAAAATTACTTTTCATTTTTCACTCCAACTGTCCATTTCAATTTAACAGTATTTAAAATAAAGGAACTTACCGTAAACCAATTTACAGTCTTTTTTTTTCAGTGTATTTAAAACTATTCTGTTCTTGCCATGAAAATCTTTGGTGCTCACATGGCTTTAAAAAAATTAAAACTGAAAATATTCTGGAAACAAAATAAATTCTTAATAAAGTGTTTTTATAATTATATTCACTTGTAAAATATTATTGTAAAATATTGCAACGCATCCTGGTGCAGCATGATGAAAAACTGGACATGCGATGGATTGGATGGGAATATGGAAGACAATTTGGTAACATTTTACAGTAAGGTCCCATTATTAATGCATTAACAATGAGCTACATGTTTGTTACAGTATTTAGTAATCTTTGTTAATTTTAGTTAATAAAAATACATCTGTTCATTACCTCAAGTAAATTAAATGATATTAACACATGCAACTTTAAATGCATTAGTAAGTCTTGAATAAACATTAAGATTAATATATACTTTAGAAGTATTTTTCATTGTTAGTTCCTGTTAACTAATGTAGTTAATGTTAACAAATGAAACCTTACTGTAACGTGTTACAGATCTTTCCTTTTTTTTTTTTTGTAGACAATCCAAATTGTAGGATGTAGATGTTTAGAGCTGTGAGTTAATGAATCATTTAATATTATAATTTAATTTTGGGTTGCTTTAATGCTTTTAATTAATAAGATTTATTAACACAAACACAATAACATTTATTGTCAATATATTTAATGTTTACTCATTTTGATACATACGAAATAGAGAAGACAGTTTATTCATAAATATTTCATTTAAAATTAAAAATAAAAATTATGTAAAAGAAAATATAAAATAATAAAACTGCATATTAAATACTTGGCAATATGCGTACACACAGATAAAACGTGTTCAATCAAAACCTCACAGTCTCTCAGCACCATCCAATCAGGTAACAGATTGGGTTTGTGGTCTTCCTATAAGATTGTGATTTCTGTTTCCAGGTTCTTGTAAGCCTCGTCCTGTAGCTCATAGATCTGGTCCATACGCTGGAATGCCACGTGACCTTTCTTTCCTAAGAGAGAACAATGTAAATCAGCTGTCACCGTCACTTCTGTACTTTATAATTACTTGAAAAATGCTACCTTGTGATAGTATGAATGCAAGGCACACCCAAATACAATGCTTATGATTTTTATTCAGATTATAATGGACTATTCCAATATTTTTACTGAGAAATAAGCACTGTAGTCTTTGCCATTTCTGAAACTTGAATGTGTTCTAGATTATTATGAGATGTTGTGCTTTGGAGATGGTCTACTCTGCAATGTCTTCATACAAAGACACCATCATTGACTGACTAGGTTGGATTCAGAGTCAGACACAGCCTATATAGGGACAAAAGCAGCACATGACACAGTTGCAGTAGTTACAGCTTCAGGGTCACGTACCGAAGGAAAGTACGGTCTCCCGTGCGGCGTTCCTCAGATCTTCATCTGTGGAGCGCCACAGTTCAGCCACCTGCTCTGCGCTCTCTGAGCCCTGAGAAACCACAAAACCTCTCTATCACAACCGATCGTCTCAAATTATCAACACAGAAACATAAAATATCTAGATCTGTTGAACAAATATACACTACCGTTCAAAAGTTTACAGTTGGTAAGACTTTAATTTGTTTTTGAAAGAAGTCTCTTAGCTCACCATTTCTTTGATCCAAAAATATAGTCAAATGTAATATTGTGAAATATTATTACAATTTAAAATAACTCTTTTCTCACTGAATCTATTTGGAAATGTAACGTATTCCTATGATCAAAGGTAAATTTTCAGCATCATTACTTCAGTCTACAGTATCACATCTTTCAGTAAATCATTCTAATATGCTGATTTGCTGCTCAAGAAACATTTCTGATTATTATCAATGTTGAAAACATTTTCAGGATTCTTTGATGAATAGAAAGTTCAAAGGAATTTTCTAAGATTACAAGATTATGTCTTCACTGTCACTTTTGATTGCGTCATAAATATCAGCAGCAGTAAAAGGTCAATATAAATCCATTCTGACTGAACAATTTATTGTCTTGACGGTTTACCTTTAGACATTTCAGAGCCAGACAGGCCTCATGCCGCACATGTGTGATGCTGTTTCTCAGCAGATCTGTGTAGTGAACCACTGCCTATAAAACACACACACGCAACTACATCAAACACACTTAAGCCACACTTAAAATGCTCAACTGTGATTACATTAGCCAACAAGAAGAAATATCTTTGTGAAAAACAAAACCTTCACAAAATGAAGCTAGTTGGTGTTTAAATGGGAATGGGAATCAAAATGTCTTGGTTAGCAACATTCTTCAAAATATTTTCTTTTGATTAAAGGAAAGTTATAAATTTACTCATCCTCAGGCCATCAAAAATATAGATGAGTTTGTTTCTTAATCAGATTTAGAGAAATGAAGCATTCCATCACTTGCTCACCAGTGGATCCTCTGCAGTGAATGGGTGCCGTCAGAATGAGAGTCCAAACAACTGATAAAAACATCACAATAATCACAAAAGTATCCACACCACTCCAGTCTATCAATTAACATCTTGTGAAGTGAAAAGCTGCGTGTTTGTAAGAAACAAATTTCAATCATGACAACTCTCGGAAGATTTTAGCATGGTGATGGATATGACAATGTTAATGTATTTGGTCTTGGCGGAATAGATCTGCTACGCTGCTGCTGAATTGCTGCTGCTGTTGGTTATTGCTGTAGTTGTAGATTATTGCTGCTGCTACAAGCAAGTACAGGAACTTGCTACTGCCAATGCATACGGCGATAAGGTGGCGTGAAAATTTAAGACATACTGCTGCTGCACAAATAGCATATAAAATAACCCGTAGCAGATCTATACAGGTGGAGCTGGGGAAGGTGGAGGGTTTCAGAGAACTCTGAAAGCGTGCTGCAGGAATCTCAAGTGAATGCTAGCCAGCCATATAAATGCAAGGCAGTAAGCTCATTGGCTGCATATGCAGCATGAACCAATCAGATTGTGCCAAGTCGTTTAACTCTCTGAATATCATCAGTTACGTTAACACCCCGTCAGCCTGCGCCATCTAGAGTTTCATGACTGAACTATATATTTATCATTAACACATTTAACAAAAACAGTTCAAAACAAATATGTGGGTAGATTTTGATATGAGAAGACAACGGGGATGGACTTTTTCACCAGAGGAAGCATTATTATGGATTATGGACTCGTATTTTTGCCAGAAGAAATGTCTTAATGATGGATTTGTTTCTTACAAAGACACAACTTTTCTCTTCACTGGATGTTAACTGATGGACTGGAGTGCTGTGGATTACTTGTGGATTATGGTGATGTTTTTATCAGCTGTTTGCACTCTCATTCTGACGGCACCCATTCACTGCGGAGGATCCATTGGTGAGCAGATTTCTCCAAACTTGTTCCGATGAAGAAACAAACTCATCAGTGTTTACTCATGCAAGTCAATTTTCAGCAAACTTCCATTTTTGGGTGAACCATTCCTTTAAATGATGACAAAATTTAGTTTGGACTATCCCTTTCATTGTTCAATATGAAAAGCATTTGTGTTTGATAGCAAGTTGGGCCCTTTCTACCTTTGCCCTGAAGGATTTGGACCGGGAGGCCCTGCTGAGGCAGGACGTGGCCGCTGAAGCCACCTTGTGATTGGCGTCTGTCTGGAGCTTGGCCAGGAGCTGGAGGGTGCGTCCCGTCGGCTGCAGCTCAGAGATGCGCTTGCCTTTCAGCTTTTTCAGAGCTCGCCTCCTCTTGGGACTCTCCAGACTGGCTATCAGATACACTGCAGCAAACCGATCCGAGGGAGAAACACAGAGGGAAGTCTCTTAATGAGATCTGTTGGGAAGAATCCTCGAGGATGATTGATTGATGCTGAAAGCAGTAAACTCACAGTGAACCGATAAGGACAAAAGCATCTGTATTTACTGTATTTCAGATTAGTTTCTCTGACGTTTCTATCCTAAAGTGAGTCTGCGAACACTCTGTGCTGTTACCTTCTTTAGAGAGGAGAGAGATGTGCTCCCCAAAGTCAGTGATACTCCATCTGTTGAGGTAGACTAACAGCTGAAACACAGTCACTCGGTCTGTAGTGCGCTGAGTCACAGACGCCATCATACAGCTGCACTGCACCTGATGCAGCAACTGACTGAAAACTGGAGGACAAAAGAAAACACTCCTTAGGAATCAGAAGACGACAAACATTTGCCAATCTGTAGATTATTTCAGTAGTGTGAGAATGAAATTCTAAAAGAACAATAAAATAGAAAAGATAACAAGATATATTATATACAAACTGTATGATTATTTCTGTAAGAAAGAAATTTTCTTTTTAAATTATTGGATTTTAGTTTAATTAAAGGGTTAGTACACCCAAAAATGAAATTTCTGTCATTAATTACTCACCCTCATGTCGTTCCAATTCTGAAGGAACACTGAATATAATAGTAATAATAATAATAATCATAATAATAATACAGTAAAATATAATACATTTATTTTATACAAAAATATTATTAGATATTTACTTACTAAATTTGGCTTTTTGGAAATTAAATATTAAATTCTAAAGAAAGAATAGAATAGACATTTATTTCATACAAAGCTTATTAAACTATTTCAAAGGCAATTATTATTTCAAACAGAAATCAATTCTAAGTAACAATGAACAGAATAGAAATAGCTTTAAAATATAATATAATAAAATTGTCTAATTAAAAAATAATAATATAATAAAATATAAAATTAAATGCAATTATTTTATATATTATAAATAGGGCTGGACGATATGGCCAAAATTTATATCACGATATATTTCTTAATTTCGGTCGAATAATATTAGATATTTATTTACAAATTAATGGGCTTGAAAATTAAATAACTTCTACAGGACAAACAGAATAGACATTTATTTTATTACACAAATATTATTAGGTTATTTCAAAGACAATTAAATATTATTTGTGATTCAACAATGAATGGAATAGAAATATCTTTCAGAAAAATAACATAATATAATATAATACCATTATATCTATATGTAATAATAATAATAACAATAATAAATTGTTAGATATTTATTTACAAGTTGATGGATTGATGGAGTTGCTTGAAAAATAATACATTCTAAAAGGCAAACAGAATAGACATTTATTTTATTATACAACGCTTATTTGAAAGACAATAAATTACTATTTCATAGTGAAATAAATTCTGAACATATTGAATAGAATACAATAGAAATATCCTGCATAAATGAATACATAAATATTTAAGTAGTTTGTGCCTGAGATTCTCAAGGAAGAAAAGGATATAATAAAACATATTCTAAAATATATTCTTTTATTCTGCCTTGAGAACATCATTTCAGTAGTTTGTGGATTCAATTCTTAGGGAGCATTAGAACAGAACAGAGCGTCCCACCTGCATCAGCCTGGCCTGGCTGTTTGGCTTTGACTTTGTGGATGTACTGTTTGCGCAGTGTCCTGAGAAACCCATCCGTGGAGCAGCAGAAAGGCGAGTCACTCTCGCAGCACTCCTTCCAAAATACTTCAATCCCCTTAGGAGCTCTGGCCAACACTGAGACACATCCACACACATGACTAATGCTTCTAGAGCGCTTCACACTGACACGGGAAAGAGCCTGTGACCGCCGACAGTATAAAGTAACAGTCACAGCACATAATTGCATATTCTAGTGTTACCCTTAAATGGCATGGGAAAGAAAATCTGTTATAATCAATCATTAACTCTGTCATTTGAAAAGTTAGCGTTTTTTAGGAAATCTACAAATCTGAACGATTACACTCTAAAAAATGCTGGGTTAAATACAACCCAGTGCTGGGTAAAATAGGGACAGCATTTTTTAGAGTGTAGGATCTAAGGAGAGATTTCTTAGTGGTTTATTTACTCATTCAAGGCCTGTGATGTTGCTATACTTACATTCTGACACTGAGATCTCCTCTATCATCCTCTGCGACAGAGTGGCAATTTTTTCCAGTACGTCAACTTGTCGCGAGAGCTCCTCCATCACGTCTTTGTGCACAAGATCGGAGTCAGAACACTTCAGAGCCTGGAAGGAGACAGAATGTAAAGTAACAATATATGTTGCTAACTGTCTGATGATTTGGTTAGACTGATTGCTCACCCCCAGCAGCACTGTGCAGACACTGAGGTGGGTTTCAAGAGCTTGATCCAGACTGTAGACCCCTGTGCTGAGTGACGGATTTACTGCAGCGCCTCCTCTCTGTCTGACCTCTTCTTCACCCGTGTC